AATTTATTATTTAATTTATTTTTTACCTTCACTAACATCTGTTTTGAAGTTTGGCGGCTCAAAACATCGTTTCTTGAAGTTCGACGCAGTCGGATCGTTCTTCTCGGGCAGAAGGTTTGCTTGCCACATAAACCAAGAATACTGGTCAAGAAAGGATTTTCGCATCTCCTCTCCGCATCTTGAGAGAGTATCTAGAAGAACCCTCTTGCAAGGCAAGAATGGACCTTTGACATCCGGTTCGCATCGAGGAAATCTTGTGGAGCACAGCACTTGTCTGATGGTTTTGGTGCAGTTGCCAAAGTTTTCACTGTAGTAGCGAGCGAACGTGAATTCCTTGCTCATGTCGGCGAATTTCGCCGTATTTTTGTATCCACATAGTTCTGCCAACCCAGATGACTTGTTGAATGGTCTACAGATGGCATGGCTTGAACGGCAAGGACAAAGATGGCTTGATAGTACAGGATTAACGATACGGCCAGTAAAGATGTTGAGGACACGGACCTGTATATGATATGTCTTCAGTGGCAATCATTGATTGCAACTATACATTGAAAACTTTCGAACTTCGATTATGAAATTTAATATATACGAGCGGGAGATCTTTACGGGATTTAAAAATGCTGCGAGMTGCAAGTAAGCAGTTTTTTAAAGCCCATAAAGGTCGCGAATATTTTATATTGCTTATTAAAATTCCAAAATAAGCTAAAGAGGCATATTTTGCTAATAACTTATAAAGATAAAAGATCGAATAATGGGATCAGCTACTTCCTCATACGATTAAAAGATCGAATATATATTTATTGAAAAAAAATATCGAAGTTAAAAGTCTCTTGCTTGTATATAGATTCGGTCACGGCAATAATTTTCCATTGTGTTTAGCCAAATTGAATTTGATAACAAAGTAAGAAATAGAAATTGCTTTATACTTACATTGTTAAAGCGTTGACCCAAATCCTCACGCCAAATGAAATCTTCACTGTACCAAGTCACAAAATAGACACTGTCGATGTTTTGGTTGTCTGACGATTAAAAAAAGAATTGAAGACGAGGCTCCGGAGAAACAATAGATGATCTTTTCGCGGTTAAAACCAAAGCAACATGTTTGCTGCAGCCCTCAAATGAACAAAAGTGCCAGTAACATCAAAGTTATGACTTTTTTCACCCATCAAAAATTATTTTCCTGGCATTGCAAAAGGATAAACAAGCTCAAAGATGGCAACTTTTTGGGTTGTTGCCCGATTTTACTTCGCTTTGATGCAAAACCACAGGCTCCTCGCGCAACTTGTTTTCTAACCGCGAAAAGGCCTTCTATTCTTCTTTTTGCGCATTGATGTGAAAAAACAGGATACCAACACATCCTACTTCATTGTACTTATTCTTTGTGGGTAAAAATGCTAAAACTGAAAGAGCTGAAAGGATCCACTCTTGTGCTTATGCCATTTTCTTATACATCAGCTGAGTAAACAAAAGTACTTCAAAGTACTCCTCAATAAACATTTGCAACTTATATATGTCATATAATAATAATAATACATTTAAGTATTAAACTTGACATAGCTGGTCGAGGGGAACATGGGGTTTTGCGGATCGAAAAATTCGGTCATTTTTATTGTGATTTTTTTAATGGGTATAAATGTCTACTGTTGTAAAGTGGTGCAAACAGTCAGCTAGCCAGMAGCAATTGCGTGTCTATGTTTCTCATAACCTTGACCTCGTCGCTGGYCAGTGGATGTTAAGGTCAGAATCATGCATGGACACACTCACATTTCAGTTCAGTTCCTCGTTTCTATTTCATTATGAAGTCACATCAAAAAATCTATTGTTTTAACGCAAAGGTTTATAGTCGCCAGAGGGCATAAGATTTATACTGCATATCAAATATAATGAACGTCAGCAATATTTGATACATGGCATATATCAAAACACGATTCACTGGCTGTTCTACTTTCGGAGAAAATCTAGATGGGTCCGAATTACCACTGTGTTTGAGCGTGCATCTTTCCCCGAGGTAAACATATTATGACGTCATAATGAAATAGCAATGTCTCCCCCCAACCCCCACCCAGATGCAAGAGGTGGTTTACTCATCTGGACCTAAGTGTAAAGACAAAAACTTTCAGGAGGAGCTGACGGGGTCTGTTATGCTAAATAACTATTCTTGTATGAATTTGTTGCTGGGAAAGGTTTTCAAGGTCCAAAAAAGGCTTATGTAACGTTTTTATGGTCAAAAACGACTTTGATGTGGACTTGTGAAGAAATTCTAATACATCAACAAGCTGTTTTTCAGCTTCTACATCTTCAATTTATGTGATAAAATTGAAAAAAATCAATAGTTGAAAACAAAATTCATATCTTGGTCAATTTCATTAATCCCACATCAACGGGTCTTTGAATTTAGATTTCCATTAGTACGTTTCGTTTTATGATTGATTTTTCATAAATAAGATAACCTAACAGACCTTACTGGGTGATTTGAGAAAATGCGACTAGCCAATCAGCGCAAAGCGGACAAGCTTATGTTTTAAACATAGCCCCCCGACGGGAGGAATTTGCTCAGCAAAACTCGACCGAGTTGAGTAGGCTGCCCTCCATTTTATTCTATCCAAAAAATCAAAGCTTACGCAAAGAGAAATTGAAAATCTTTATAAAATAGCTTCTAAATGTCAATCAAATATTTATCGTTATAGAAATAGAATTTTATCTTAAAAATTAAATAACAAATAATTTTATTTTTAATACCACGAGACTCCCCTCCCTGATAAAAAACAAAAATTGGTCCGTGTTCTACGTGGGTTCTCCATTGCATGCGAAGCAATGGCCGACTTCACAAAGACTTCAGAAGGTCGTTGAAGCGACGTTCAAGTCCAAAGTATCTTAGGAGGAGCCATCGCAAATCCTTTTTCTTAGCTCTTGTTTCC